CTCATTTCTTTTTCCTCTCTCCCCCCTTCCTTCTCTTCTCCATCCCACTCCCTCCCTCCTTCCCACTTCCCCTCCTACCTCTCCCTCCACATCTTCCCTTCCTACCTCCTCCATCCTCCCCCCACCACCCACCTCTCCCTCTCTCCAACGTGGGTGGTTGGCGGGTGCTCTTGTGCGGTTTGCTCCTTCTTTCCTACCAAACATCTATCGTCCTGATCTCTCCTCCTTCTTTTCTGTGTTTGTTACTCTCTTGTAACATCTCTATTCTTCTACACTTATATGACTGTATTGTGTTGCAAGTGCCGCGTATAACTTGTACTAAAATTAAACTCTCTCCCCCCCCACCCCCACCCCCACAGCACCACTGGTGGGCCGTCCTGCTAATGGCGGTGGCGCTGATCGTGGTAATGGGGGCTTTCATCAAGGTGTGCGCCGTCCACACCCCCAGTTCCAACCCCCGCAAACCCAAACATCGTCAGCTCACCCTACCCCGCACGCTACAGCGGAGAAACAGACAGCGACGACAGCAACAGCAACAACAGCAACAACCGTCGTCGTCCGGTGGTGGTGGTGGGAGGTCGGTGCCTGCTGGAGGAGGAGGAGGAGGGAGGAGTGTGGGAGCAGGGAGGAGTGTAGGAGGAGGGAGCAATAAACCCACCACTAGTGAGGTGCCTCATAGTAGTCAGGTGAGATGGCTGGTTGCTTGTTTGTTTGTTTGTTTGTTTGTCTGTTTGTTTGTCTGTTTGTTTGTTTGTTTGTTTGTTTGTTTGTTTGTTTGTTTGTTTGTTTATTTGTTTGTTTGTCTGTTTGTTTGTCTGTTTGTTTGTTTGTCTGTTTGTTTGTTTGTTTGTTTGTTTGTTTGTCTGTTTGTTTGTTTGTTTGTTTGTTTGTTTGTTTGTTTGTTTGTCTGTTTGTTTGTTTGTTTGACTTTTTATTACTCTATGTCTCTCTGTCTATTTATCTGTCTGTCTGTCTGTCTGTCTATTTATCTGTCTGTCTGTCTCTGTATGTTTATTTGTGTTTGTGTGTGTGTGTGTCTGTCTGTCTGTCTGTCTCTCTGTCTGTCTGTCTGTCTATGTATTTCTCTCCCTCTCTCTATCTCTCTCTCTCTGTCTTTCTGTTTTTCTCTGTCTCTCTCTCTCTCTTTCTCTCTCTCTTTCTCTCTCATTCTCTCTCTCTCTCTCTCTCTCTCTCTCTCTCTCTC